TCTGGCTAGCATGTGAAGAATTTAAGAAAACACAGGGAAAAAAACAGGTATGCTTTCTAAATCGTTTCTACTTGTCAACAAAGTTTCTAGCAGAGTTGAAGCTATAAGGTTTCTGTTACACGACTGCTGTATTCCATGTGAGTGCAAACGAATGTATTTGAAGGAGTTTCACTGAAATCATCCTGGTGGAATTGTTCTGAAACAAAGCTGGATTTTATTTCAAATCAAAACGAAATGCTGAAATTGTCAAGTTTCCCATATTTTGAGAACTCAGAACTTTCTGTTGTTGCTTTGGAACAGCAAAAGGTTAATTTCAGAAATGTTATCTCATCTCGTTTTAAAATGCAAAGACATTTAATCCAATAAGCTTTAAAGCATAATGGATAGTATATGAAAATGTGCAACACTGCAATTAATATTTTAGTATAACAAAAATAAAAAGCAATGCAAACAAAGTGTTTTGCATTATCAAATTACCAAAAAAGTTGAGTGTTCATTTAGATTTTTGTTTAAATTTTTGTTCAAATTGATATATACCTACAGAACACTTACATTTTCATGAAAACTATATTTTTCCAGTACAAAATATTCCACTGAAAGTTTTTTCAACCAAGCACCTCCAAAAACTTTTCTCCAGTGCTCGGGTCTGAGTCTACATTTATATTTAGCATGAACACAGGATCCACTTTCATATTTGAGCTTTAAAACATGTTGAGTCAGACCTAAAATCCCTACCATGTTTTGTTTGCTTGTTTCTGAAAGTGTTTTTGTGAGTTATTTTGTGGACACTCCTAAATCCCATAATTTTTTTTCAACCTTCCATTATGCTTTTCACATGTATCCTGGCAACGGATACACATGTATAGCCCCTTCTGTGCTCCTCTGGGCAAAGGAAGTAGAGTGCCATGAGGAGGTCGGCCTGGGGAAATGCTACTTAAACCTGCCTCAGATGGGACAGTACGTGCTCTGTCAGAAATATCAGGATGGGAATCTGGTGGGGGAACCAGGCTATTGGAGGGATTCTAAAGTACTACCCAAGAAAACTGTCTCAGTTCCTGGATCTGGACTATAGGACTTCCTCTCATAAGGTCAGTCAAAAATTTTCAGCTGAAACTGTTCTCCAGCAGAATATTGGGTTTCCAGCAAAACATTTTTGAGAGGGGAATTTATTTTTCACTGAAAAAGCACTCCCCCCAAACAAAGCAATTTACCTGTTTCAATTTTCAGTGTTTTTTGGTATTGATATCTCCATCAAACCCCTCCAAAATGACTGTTTTTTGCAAGAACAGAAAAACATTGCTCAGTTTGACTGCAGATCTCGTAATATTTAGCACTACTACAGCCATGCGTATTCAGTTGTTTATCCTCCTTCACTAAGGTCCATGCAACAGGCATGCAGGTACTCTTCAGAATATCTAGTAACCAGCTGCAGTAATCTGACTGCAATAGCTAATCAGGCAATTTTCCTGTAGGATTCAAGGCAGAAGGAGAGATAAAGGCAATGAGATGGGATAAAAAGAGAGAACTGTATGTGCTAGATGATGCTATCATGGCAGCAGTGTCAGTAGCTGGAGTGAGGATGCTAGCCAGGCCTGCGAGGGAGTGTTTCACCTGCAGCCTGTCAGGAGTTGGCTTCCTGAGCAATCCGGTCTGCACAAGCCCAGGACCATCAGTCCCACTGACCTAGCTCGACTTTGGCACAACAGCTAGTGCAGATCTCATTACTGTCAGGCTGTGGCAGAAAGCACTTTATCTATTTTGTCCCCATATGTCCATATGGCATCTTGACTGGTATGCTCACTGTGCTGGGCCTGGGATTTGGATATTCTTGACCTTTTTCCCTACTCTATAAGTAACGTTTGCTTTCTGAGCTAGGGAAATTCAGTCAGCATCACAGTTTGTTACCAAATGGGAAGAGACTTTTGGTTTGTACAGGCCAAAAGGTTTTCGTATGTATGTTGCACAGTTTTCTTGGTAGGAGATGTGTAGCCTTTTCCTGATTCCCTTTAAACAGGTATCAAACTGGTGTTTTTAAATGAAAATGGAAAGGTTCCATGTTCTGCAGTGGAATAAGAATCACATTTTCCCTTGTTAAATAATTTTCATATTTTTATTTTCCAATTGCTTTTTTAGGATTGTAAACAGTAATGCACGAAATGGTAAAAAGATATTTAGAGATAATAGCTCAGTGAATGCTCAAATGGATTACCAGACCGAGTGGACAGAGATGTAACTAGGTTCCAGTTAGCTTCAATTAGTTAATACCAGTCATTACATACTGTAGTCAATCTGGAGTCTAGCACATCAAAGCTTTTACAACCAGGTCGAATAAATATGTTTCAGAATGATACAGACTCACAGTAAATTTTTACAGCTACTGCTTATGGATGGCTTTGTTTAGATAACTTACAGCGCTAGAAAAACCACTAAAAATATAAATATTTCCAGTGTTTATGATAGCGTGAAGTGTGAATTTGTCTTCTGAAAGTGATTTTTGCAAAAATTGCTTTGTATCTAATGTGACCAAAGGAAAGTATTCCAAAACCAAATCTTTATTTATTTTATAATCTACTTCTCATTAAAGCCGTATTGGTAGGATGTTAGGTTCTGAAATGGACTGAATAAGAAAAAGAAGAGAGTGGAAAAGAGGTTCCTGGGTGTATGATTTTTGGTTCTTCCTGTAGTCCCAGGACTTAGAAAACCTTCTTAAATATGGCTCTACCTGCGTAATGGTAGCTAGTAGCTGCAATGTGTGTCACGGCTGCAGAGATCAGGAACCTTTTCACGTTTCCTGGAAGTATGCTAATAAGAAACAGAAAAATATATGCAACAAATGAGCTCTGTTACTAACAGCCAAACGTCCCTTGGGTGATTTAAAAAAAAAAAAAAAAAAAAAAAAAGCCCTGATGAGCCTTTGGTCTAAACAGTGCCAGTTAATATATTAGTATTCTTTGCACAGGAGATATTCCCGGGAAGCTGATAATCCCATATGAGAATGATCCCAGAACATTTTTTCCAAACAAAGATCTTCAGAGCAGAACTAGATTAGTGAATAATTATACGTCCCTCAGCACTATTTGATTACTGTGTTATGCTTTGAAACCAGCACAGCTTTTCGCTGGAAGGACTCCTTCCTGTCCTGACCAGTGCTCTAACCACCACCTTGTTGCATTCTCTTGTATTCTGTCCTGTCTGGAGACTCCAAGGGTTTGTGTGTGTTTTCTTGTTTTGGTGAGCTAATACAAAATGCATGCATGTTTTGGGAAGGAGGGGTGATTTTCATCACCTGCAAGGGCAGGCAGGAAGTAGACTGCATCACTGGCCCAGGCAGGTTTTAGGTGGACTGGATTCTACCTGTTTTCTTGCAGCATGGAAGCACAAACTCTTCACCTCAGCCTGGGGAACATCTCTGTGGTTTAAAACAGAAAGGATATTCTTTCTCTGTAATTGCTTTAAAACTGAAGTTAAAATAGAAATATGATTTTTAGTGAAGATTGGGGAAGGAATTGTCAAGTCTAGTTGGAACAGTGAGCTCTGCTACCATCCATATAGTCCCCATCTTAGGACACCTGCTTAATTATGAGATGGGAGTGGTAGGGACCAGAGTATAAAGTTTAACTTTAATTATTTTATTGGAATTAGTCATATGGAGTTGCATTTGTAATTGTTAATGAACTAAACAGCACGTCCATTGTGCTACCTCCCAAGGTTAAAATGTTTCTTCTCTTGCGAAGGAGCTTTAAAAATAAATTACAAATTGAAGTAAGAACTTCAAACAACAGAGAATCTTTTCAGCTACTGCTGACATCCACTAAAATACTTCTATTGAGAAGTTCTGCAGAGAGCATTTTCAGAACAAAAAATATCTATTCAGGAATTTTTTCTGCCACTTCCTATGTGGAATGTGGCAATAGTTAAACAGGATTTAGTAATGTTACACAGCTGTTAACTCCTGGAGTCTGCGTCCTGATGAGCATCTGGGACTTCCATTCACCTCATTTGGGAGCCACACATGTTTGAGGGCTGAATTTGACCTTAGGAAAGGAAGTGGTTAGGAAAGGAAGGTGTAAAGAGTATTTTATCCACTTGAAATACTGAGGGGGGTTTCTGTAGACAGAACTTTGTATTCCGAATTGGAATTTGGCAGGGATGCTGGGGTGAGCACACCAGATGTAAGTGAAAAGTGCCAGAAGTCTTTTAATAACCACCCGTGAACAAAATCTCAGTTTAAGTGCTGTTTAAAATACAGTCCCCTGCGCTGAGGCATTAGTTTCAGGCTGATACAGAACAAAGACTGCGCCCGCTGAACTGGTAACGTCACTTTCTTCTCTGCATGACTCTGGCTTTTCCTCAATGTCAGTTGGGGGTGGGGGGGGGTGCATAAAGAAAGACTGGCAGCTTTAGCCTGTACTTGCATATTTTTTAAATTAATTTTAATTAAATGGATGTGCTACTGAAGCATAGACATAGCATAATAGTTGTTTCCATGTGCAGCAGAACTTTTAAAGTTTGGTTGTGCATTTCCATATTCTCCATGCCTATAATGTCAGGTCTCCTGCATCCCTCCAGTGACCCCTCTCCCTACCGCAGCACTTTCACTTCCTTTCTCATTCTGTCCCTCAAAATCCAGAGATCCTCCCCATTTCACCAGCCTCCCACACAATCCTCTTGTTCCCCACCATGTTCTCTAAACTTCCTCACAGTACTTCTAGTTTCTCTCATGTTTCCCCTCAAGCCTTCCTTTGCTCTTTCCCCACAGTACACAGCTTGCTCCTGTGTTCTCCATGCAAGAAACATCATGGGTCGTGGCTGACTTGGAGCTATGTATGTATTGATTAGCCAACCGCTAAGTACGTACTGGCAGTTCAAATAGAGTAGATAACTTTTGAACATATACTGCAGCTCTTCCTTCAGTGGTTGTGCTGTTTTTTCTGTTTCCTTTTTCTAGCCACTCTTTTCCATGGAATTAATAAGAACGTAATTATTTTACGGTCCTTTACCCGTCTCTGAAATATGGTTAAAATTGGACAACAGGTTCAAAAATGATTTAGGAAGGAATGACTGATGGCACAATCGCTTGGGCTTTTTCGTGCAGTAGCTAAAGGTAGCTGGTATACTGCACTAAGGCTTTAACTTCACCAGTTAAAGCAGTCACACCTCTGAGTGATAAACTAGTGGCATTTTAATTTAGAACACACTTAGTTGACCCAGTCCTCCCTGACCTGTGAAACGGCAAAGACTGCAGATCTTCATAAAACAGTCCGTTGTGACTAACGGGCTTGATACATGTCTAGTCTTATCTACTAGATGAATATCTGTTTTAAAAAGGAATACTGTTGGGAAATGTGTGTCCCTCTCAGCACTGACAGAGTTAACTCTTTAGACCTTATGAATTGTCAGACATATGTAGCTTTTCTTTTAATTATCCCCAAATGTTGATTCTGAGCTTCAGAACAAGCTTAGCTGTTGATTCTTAGTAAAATATAAAAGAACTTCTGTGACTTGTTCATTTGTGTAAGTGCTTCCTCCGTCAGGCCCACTTCCTATCAAAGAAAGTCCTTTGGTTCATGCTGCTGTAGAGATACAGTTGCTCATTAAAAATCCGATGAGAAATATTTACGAATATTCACTGGTGGTTATCTTATAGTGCCTGCTGCTATGGAGGCCTTGTTTTAAGCATGCAGAATTCAGAGTGCTGAAATGAGGCTTACGTCACGCGTGGCTTTACAATGTGCTCTCACTGGCTCTTTCCTTTCTTATCTCGCATTCTGGTCAAGGGAGAATTTCCATTTAGTTTCAGAGGATTGTGACCATTTGTATACTGCTCTGAAGCTGAAGAATGCTAGGTAGTGTCAAAACATAATCGTTGTTACTGATTTATCAGGAGAAGACCACTGAAGCAGGATTGCTGAAATTAGAGCAAACACTAACAAACTACTTGAGGCCAGTCACACCTGTCCTAATTTATCAGCTTTCAGAGGCTCTTGAGAATCTTGTCTTTACCAGTAACAAACGAACAAAAGCTATTGAATTTTTTTAATCTTGTGCACATGAGATGCCCTGAGGTAAAAACACAGTTATAACGAAACGTGTTAGCTATATTACAAGGTGATCTAACTATAGTATGCATTATACACCAACTTTGCTTAGTTTCTGCCTTGTAGTAAGAATAAGTTTCCACAGTGTTTCTTTCCTCTGGCTTCCGTGCATATGCTAGTTATCATTAGTAAAAATAGTTCTCTGAGTAGTGAAGACAAGGCCTAGTTAATAATGCTGTACGGTTTTACATTGGATACTCACATTTGAACATCACAACCTGCTGTTCACAACCCAGCCAGGGGTGCTGAATACCCCTGGCTCCCACTAATGTCAGTGTAGAAGTTGGCCTGCAGTGATATGTTTTTCCTCCAATACAAATGAATATACGTATAGAAGTTGATCTATGTATATTTGTTTTGTTTTCTGAATTTGGACTACATTTTGTTTTTAAGATGTGGACCTCAAGAAGGAAGTGAGCTAGAGCTGTCTCAAAACGTAACAAATACAGAGAATGTTCCTGAAATAACTAATTATTTAAATAACTGTCCTTTTGTAGATGCAAGAAAAAGCTGAAGAAATTTACACAACTTTCCTGTCCAGTAAAGCTTCCTCTCAAGTCAATGTTGAGGGGCAGTCCCGTTTGAATGAGACAATTTTGGAGACGCCTCACCCTCTGATGTTTCAAAAGCTCCAGGACCAGGTAAAGTTATTTTCTTCCAGAACATGGCTTCAGTAGTTTTTGTCAGCTTTTAATGGACGCTGGGTTTTATCTGGATAGGCTTTCTAAGCACAAGCTAGTGTAGGAAAGATGGGAGCCTCCCTGCTACTGCCAGTGCTACGGAGCAGGTGTGCAATCCAGCTTCTAGGTTGATGCAGAGAAAGAAAACAAGGGGTCTGGTAGGCCTTGATTTGCGTTGCTTCCACTTTGGGGCTACTAGCTCAGTAGCTCTGTCAGTGGTTGCATGATGATCCAAGTTCTTGATCCTGTCTCGGTAGGGCTAATTAGTGAAGAGATCCTTGCACAGCCATGCTAATTCCAGGTCAGGACTTGCCAGGAAAATTGGATGCAGTTTGCTTCTGGGTTCTTTTATTTCGGATTGGGAATCACCCAGCTGGCTAACTTTGTGCCTGTTTCCCTGTGTAGTTGCTTGCACTGAGTCACTGCTAGTGTTTGTTTCAGTAGTTGCCACTGGTTTCCTTGAGATCTCAAGATTCTGTTAGGATTTTTCTCCTTGCTTTGTTTTGGTATTTATATTGATATAATAAAAAGCAATTTCGTGCAAAAAAGCCCCCTCTTCTCTAACACACACAACCTAGAAAAGGAGTTGGTATCTGCTTTGCCTTTTCATCCAAAACTCAGGAGCTCTCATAGAAATTGGGCAACTTTTTGCAGATACGTCTTTTGGTGGCAAATTTTCTTAATTTTTATCATATTTTAAAGTGCAAGTTATGATGTGAGTCATTCTCATCTGCAGCTTTGCAACACTTATCAGCCCTTTCCAACACTGCAATCTGATCTATTTTTAATTTCTGTACCATCCTCAGGACTACCTCTATTTTCCATTTGGCTCTTTTCTTTGTCAGAAAAGCAGCACAATGGTTTAAATAGCCTTTTCAACCTATTTCACATCAGCTACTGATACATTAGTCGGGCACTGGCTGGATTCATTGAAATGGTCTGAGGAGCAAAGGATCTGCTGTCTTTCAAGCAGATTCCAAGTCATTAACAGTGGGAATCTCTGAAATCCAATTTCCATGTGCGGAAGCAAAGTTTTTCATAGAACTTTTGACTTGGGGGAAAGGGAAAGAAAATGTTCTTGTAAACCTTAGTATTGCAGTTCAGAGCAGGTGATTATGTGGCTGTGATAGTGAAGCTGCAGAGACTGTTGGAGTTAAAATGTTTTGCAGCTTTATGAAGGAGTGGGCACTAAATACGCAGGGATTAGTAATACGTGAACTGGTGACATACTAGACCAGCAGTAGAAAAAATCCACTAGTGTGGGGAAGAATGACTTACTGAAGAAGAAGAAGATCTGAGCTTTTAAAACCAAATGCAGAACACTTATAGGTTGTTGCAGGTTTCCACTGCTTGAGGCTTCTGTTTATTGGTGTTAGATAACAGTTTGGAAAGAATTATATTCTTCTCTTGCTTTCAATCCTTATAAAGAGTGGTATAATTTGATCTCTGAAGAACAGTGTTAACTACTGCTGGTGCTGTATGCTTGAAGTACAAAAAGTCAGAGTTTCAAAGCAACAGTCTAGTTCCTAGCCTTAGTGGGGCCTAGCACTTCAGTTCTCCAGCAGACTTGTCGATCTAAATGGGGCTACTTGTGGGGTGTGATTCTATGTGCATGGGACAGTGCTAAACAGATACTTTAGAGGCAGTCGTTCATGCTGAATAAAGTGGTTCATAAATCTCATACATTTCAAAATATATATCGAGGTAAAAGTTCCTGTTCCACAGAGGTGATGAGGAGGGGAGGGAAAGGGAAGATTCTGCTTTTGCACATGATAATAAAATCTCTTTGTTATATACATTTGACTGGCCAGACTCTAGGGCTGTTATGAGAAGGTTTTACTCTTACAGTGTTCTTCCTTTGTGAGAGATGTTTTAGATGATACTAGGAATAAGAGGCATCCAAGGTCCTAACACTGATTTATGAAGCTTTAATAGGCTATGTCTTCATTAAAAGCAATTATTTTTCCTTGAGTTAGGTTGATAAATTTAATTACACTGTCGTTAGCCAACCCCATCCAGGAGGTGTAGCTTTGACCTTGCTTAACTGCATTGAGCTGGGTCTCCAGTAGGAGTCTACATCAAGATGGTGAACTTTTCTTTACGTTATTTTTGATTTATTCAGTGTCTAGCTTATAAAGCAAGGTTTCAACTGTTTTAAACATGAACCTAAATGTTTAAATATGTAAACAAGTAATGGTTAATACAATGCTCCATGTCATTTATTTTGTAAGGAGGATATTCCGGCTCAAGCAGACAAGAACAGTTAAGTTTTTTGCCTGTTTGCCGTTTTGCGTGTTTGCTGGTTCCTTGAGAATGTGAAAAGAAAAAGCAGTTTGAGATTTTTCCTCATGAACATCAAGCTCCAGTGGTATTATCAGTTAGAAATGAGGCCCATAAAGCTAAAGCTCCAATTTTCCACGCATGGAGTGTCTAACTGTTCTTACTGGAGCAACTCAGAATCCAGAAATTCCTCTTGGAAACTTAGATACTCTGGGTACCATAAAATGTAATCAGTCATGAAGCATGGCTCAGAGAGGCTCCTCCAGTGAAATCATAGTCAGAGGTTGACGGAGGCTTTAGTTTCGCCTCAAATACAATTTTGAGGTTTTCCTTTTTCCTTCCCTACTGCTTCCAGCCAAAGCAAAATACAGTCCTGACCTTGACACCTGAAAGGATTCCAGACTCCTTTCCTCAACCCTTTTGTTTTCAGAAAACTCCAAATTAGTTCTAGGTTTTTGATCTGAAATGGATAAAAATGGAAAACAGTTGTGTTGAGGAATGAGTCTAAACTCAAGCCCTGGGAGAGAGAAATCTATCCTCGGTCTGGCTTCAAGCTTCCATGCTGGCTGTGTACTGGCTGCAGGAAGAAGGGCAGTTCTTGAGCCAACGAAAAGCCTAATGGTAAAAGTTTTATCCATCTGCAGTTTTTAATCACATTTTAACTGGCAAAGTAGATCCGTAACAGATCAGCTCTTTGTGGCAGGTTACCAGCAACGTTTCTGGTTGGGTCTGAAACGGGTTTTGTCATTCAGTTTTATCCTAATCTAAAAAGGATGTAAGGATTGGCATAAGTTTAAAAAGCATTGGCTAATCCAGTTATTTCATTCTAGATTCAGTTGGCAGTTTCAGTATTTCTTGAAATTATTTGGATGTTTTTCTTAATGTTCCAGTGCTCTGCATGTGTAATCAGCTATTCTGTAATGTTCAAGTGTGACTGCAGTTAGGGTTGACAGGTTAAAGTGGCATAAAAGGTAGCTTTTTCTTCAGCTCTGCTTAGTATATCTGGTGTCTTCCTACTGCCTCGACAGAATGACATCCTCACTAGGTGTTACTTCTTGTGGCTCTGTGATGCTAATGCTGCTGTGGAAGGGACCAGGTATTGTCCTGGCTTGTCTACACGTGTAGTTGTTAACTAATCATGAGCTGTAAAATCCTGGCTAGTGGTGATGGCATGTGACCTCCCACCTTCTGTGTTAGGTTTTCAAAGCTGGCTATCATGAAAAACATAAATTGACTCTTAAGCTAATATAGACATTATTGCAAAACAATGACTGTGGAACCCATAATATTGTTTGTTGCGTACAGCCACTTCGAGAATTTGAGATGTATTTTAATGTCATGCTTTTTAGCAATTATGTTTCAGTGCTAATAGAACAAAAATACAGTAGAATTCATATGCTGTCCTTCTCATTTAAAATCTATTTTTACTTGGGTCATTGTTTTCGTGTTGTTTTTTTCTCTTCTCCAGATATTCAATCTCATGAAATACGACAGCTACAGCCGCTTCTTAAAGTCAGACATATTCCTAAACCATAAGAAGTCTGAGGAGCAGGAGGAGAATTCACCAGAGGCTCAGACTGCAGCTAAACGAGCATCAAGAATTTACAACACATGATACAAAGAACCTCTCTAGGAGAGGCGATAAGATGACTAAAGTTTCACTCAGGAACAGTCTTTAGGTTTATAGCAGTTGCATTTAGGTTTTTAAAAGCTGAGAACCTTTTTAGGAGATATTTACTTTCTTAATTGCTTGAATGACTAATTGTTTTTGCATGATGGCTAATAACCAAGCACCCAGGGAAAACTGTTTCCTAGCTAAAAGGCTGAGGTATTCTTCCATAGCATGAATTGCATTTCATATTTCACAAGTTAAAATGCTTTCAATTTCTGTATTTTTATGAGGTATCATGAGGATAAAAAAAAAAAAAAAAAGGAAGTCTTTTTTTTTTACCTTCTCATTTTTATTGGTGATCTGCTTCTACATTCTGAATTGCTGGGAGAAGCTATTGAGGAGTACCTTTCAAGCTACTTTGTGGATGAGTCATTCATAGCCAACTTTATCATTAAGGCACAGCATCTTTCAGGGTTAAGTTTAATAAAACCCAATCTACTCCTCCCTTCCAATGTAACCTGTTCTTTCAAGGTGATGTCTGTTTTGCTTTGCCTTTGTTGATGAATCAAAACACTTATTTCTTCGGTCAGGATTTTCATTTTTGTATTTTTTTTAATTTTCCCAAATTCTTTTGCAGCAGACAATCACCTTCTTCAGAGGACAGAATAACCAGTATTCCCATGGTAACAAAACCTATAAGAGAGAATGAATCTCTGAAGAATTTTCAACAGCCATTAGGAGATCTGGTAGATAATACCCGCTCTGGGGACCCTGATTTCCACAAAGCTTGACTGGGCATGTCCTGCACTACAGCAAGGTTATTCATAGCATCAGTGTCAAATGCCAGTACTGGGAAGCATCTGTTTTTTCGTCCATCTCCTGAGCAATCCTGCTCTGCATGGCAAAAATCCTTTTCCAAATGACCAATCAACAAAGCCTTGCTTTGTTCCATTTAAAATGTTCTAATAAAATCATCCTGCCTAGTTTTGTTTGCCCCTGGGATGAATTTGAGGGTTTCCTAATCACAAATATTGATAGCTGCAGTGGAACAGGGAATTAACCATGTGGTTCAGCCATTCCCACATCAAGCTTTAGCGGAAGGGGAATTTATTTCTGCCCAGAGGAATCAATGATGAGACGTGAGAGTAACAAAGGAAAACTCTCCCAGTGAGCCTTCCGTATCATCCTGGACTGTTTCAGAGCTGAAAAGCACTTTTTTTGACATATATTTCATATATTTTTGAATTAATTCACTGCAAGACTGCTAAATTGCAGTTTAAATTGGAGAAGTGTATTAGCAACATGTTTTACTTAATGCTTTGCAGTGTGTAGTCTAGCTCTGTTTCGCATTCTCTTATTTACTCTTTCATTTTTTTGCACTGCCTTTCTTGACCTGTCTAATCAGATTGCAGGTTCGCTTTAGATAGTTTTATAGTTCTCTTTTTCAGGAAGGCCAGATATGTATTACACATTACTGTCACCGTCGATGTTTTGAAGACTAGGGCTAGGTCATAATTTTTGAGGATGCAAACTCACTTGGTAGACTTGATTATGACTTTTTTTTTTAATATAACTTTGAGTCACTCTTGCAGGTGATATGTAAAGCAAATTGTTACTGTGGGCTCTCCCACAGTGACATGCAGGAGTAGGAATAGGAGTCCTGATTGAGCTAGAAGACCTGTTCATTTTTAAGAAATTAAAGAGGTCAGTCCATCAGTATGTATGTTTTAAGATGTCATTTTTATGCACTGAGTACATTTTCCTTCTGTGCTCCCAGAGGATTAAATGGTGAAGTCATCTTGCTTCTGGCACTTTCAGTGGTACTTACTTGACCTCATGCTTCAAGTTAAGTTGTATGTCAATGTTTTGCTGAATAGGAGCAAAGTAAGCACCGGCATGAGTTCTTTTGCTGTAATGGGGCTTAGGAAATGAGATCAAAACCCTACCTTTTTCCAGTTCTAGACTTGCCAGTTATCTGTAATCTTCAGATTACCTCTTTTAATATTCGCTATAGTAGCCAACTCTTAATTTCTGCCACAACAGAATACAGAACTTCTGGTACCACGGAAGTCTTTGAGAGTGGGCTGCTTAACCACATTTAGGAGTTAGGCTTTGTCTATTGCCAGTAATTGCAGCAGAAGTGTTGGTGCTGGTATGGATGCACAGTAGATTCATCATATAGATTTTTAAAAAAAAGATGAGCAAGGGAGAGGAGTATTTGGCTATCATGTTTTAAAATAATAATAAAGGAAACCAGAGGCTCTATAGACAGTGGCAGGGACTAGAGGGAAAACACTTGTTCGTAGCTGCTTATAAACAATGTTTTCCTTGACAATATGCACCCTATCATGTACTGTATTATCTGCTCAGTAACAGCAAATGCCTCATAGGAGTAGACACAAAGGTGTTTTACTCTACTACCAACCAGAGGCTACTCAAATGAGGAAAATACATTTCCTAGTGGCATTTCAGTGCCTATGCTTTAGAGCTAATATACCTAAATCAACAGAAGTGGATTTCTCTCACTCAAAAGTGGGAGAAGTTTTGTGCCTGATTATCCTGAAGTCCTACCCTAACGTGTGTTCCTCAGCTAAAAATTAAAATATTCTGCAAATAAACTAAACCATGTTCTGACCCTTGTTTCATGTTTTGAATGCAGTTTGGACCAAGATCACTTCATATTTTGCAGTTGTCCCATTTTCTGCTTTCAATCTCTGTTAATGTTCTTGCTTACATTCTCCTATAGTCAGTACTTTTTCTCATGGAAGACGGGAAGCTGGCAGATGGGAAGACGGTGTGTGTTTCACTTCAGAGTCAACCGTTGTCCTCAACAAGTTCCAGTAAGTCACCTGAACAGCAGAAGATAGTTCTTTTACCTTCATCTCCCATTTCTCTGTTTCCATTACATTTCTTCCATTGTGCTTGTTTTCAGTTGCTAATGCATTAATGTGAGAAAGAGGGTTTGAAAGACCATAGGGAGAGAGCGAGAGAATGCTTTTAATACTGAAGTCTTCCAGTTTGGATAACAGTTCAGAACCTGCTTATTTTTACTGAGGATTCAGATTTTAGTGAACTTTAAGTTAAGTGGGTATTATTTGCATCTGCATTAAGAATGACTTGGGTCTAGGATGGAGAGAGGAGATTGTGACTCATAGCTGAGTAAGGATAGATTTCCCTCTTTATAAATTGTTTATACTTTTTTTTTTATGCTGAAACAGAGCAAGTCTCACAAAGTCAATTAGTTTTGCCAGCTGTCTGCCCCCTGACTCACCGGAATGGTTGTTTACTTGAGAATATTCACTACCCTGTCCCTCTTAAATCCAACACAGTTAATGTCCAGAGGCTCCAAGTGGTCTTGCACTGCTACAGTTAAAAACTGTGGAACCTCCTTTATCCGAAGGATGTGTGTAACTTTACTGCGTTGCCTTGGTGAGCACTTCACAGTCACTCTGTGAATTCTGATCTCTGAAATGTAGAAGTTTTATTAATGATTAACTGAAAAAGTTTTTCATCAGTACTACTACTCGCATCTTGCCTCAATTAGCAGTTAGAGAGCCCAATACTAGGTGTTTGGGATGGTGGGGTAAGAAATAGGGTAAGGCATTTCACAGAATTTGGTTGCTCTCCAGAGAAATGAAGTGATTGCCAAATTTAATAGCACCCTCTACTGGTTCTTGGCAAAAAAGACATTTAGGGAGATAGTGAAGTAAGGCCGCAAATAAAGGAAAGTTAGAGCTGTTTGGTTTCCTCACACTTGAAGGTGCACTTTAGACTGCAAATGCAGTTAAGTTAAAACTATACTAAAATATTTAAACGATTCTGCTGTTTATTAAAGGTAGTTGGTTTTGCTTTGTATAATCAAAACATACTCAAAAATCAAGGGGGTCACTATGTACCTGAAAACTGATTAAAATTACATTGAAAGCTGGCATTAGGGTAGATCGTGTCGAGCTCTAGAGCATATATGAGATGAGAAAATTAACAAAACAACCTCAGAAAATGGCCAGCATTTGTTCCTCCTTCTGCTATTGTTCTTCTCTTAAGCTGTGTGCATTTCAATCTGTCATAGATGAGACATTTCCTAAAGGAAATGGTGACCAGCATGCTGAGTTTTGTAGCCCAAGCGCAAGGAGTAGATGCAATTAATAACTTGTTTCTATCATGCTTTTCTATTGCTTTAGCTTTTACGGAAGTAAAATATTTAAAATTCAAAATATTGCCTACCTACATTCCTGTGTTACACTCTGGCCTCATGAGGCTTGTCTCTTACTTGAGAATCAGGTCTTTTTTTTAGAAAAAAATTAGTTGAGAAAAACAATTCTGCATTGGGGAGAAACAGGGAAGGAGGATTCCCAGCATTTTATGTTTCAAGCAAAACCCATTTCAGTGTTGATCTATTATGGATAATGTTTGTGATCACAGGCTGATCCACAGCTGCTTTGCAGTGATTCCATTCACAGAGAATCCTGACATACTCGGTACACTGAAATTCTTGTCAATAGAATGCCCTTACACTGGGTGAGAAATGCACAGAGCCCATTATTATTATTTTTTAATTAAAATTCCAGCAGCGTCTAGCCAATCATTTCCTTACCGGGCTGTGGCTTCAGCAGCCTTTCAATATGTGTTTCCCTGAAGGAATCTCAGGTTTGTTCTGCAAGTTGTTATACCTGATTGGACCCCTGACCTCTGGGGAAATCTGGGTGGCCAACAAGACTTTGACATAATGAAGTGTCAGCGTGCAGGACAGCTTGCAGGAGCAGAGCTAAAGTTTTATCAGCCTTAGCAAGTATAGTTTCTGTTTTTTCAGACCTTGCTTAGCTGCCCTTGGGATAGCACTGCTTGTGGACATTTGAGTACATAGATTTCAAGTATTTTTTCTGTGTCATTAATAGGAAGAGGTGGGATTTGCGAGCAACTTTATGCCAATAATTGCAGCAGTACAGCTCTCCCAGTGCTACAAAAAAGGTACTACTGTAGAGGTAAATTAAAACCTTTCAGGCTCTTTTTCAAGCTGCAATCTGGAGGAACAGTCTAACAAATAAAATTTTCTCAATATTTACTACATAATTTTTCCCTATGAATATTATGTTTAGACATTCTTTCACAGCAGCAGTACATTCAACATACAGATGCCCTTTTTTGCATAGCTGAAATGTTACAGAGACGGACCAGATAGTGAAGACGATAAAGGACAAGAATGATGCTCCTCTTTTAGTGAGCAAAGAGATGCTGAAGAAATGAAAACAAAAAATGAAGGACAAAAGACAACACTGCTATAGATTATATCACTGAGACTGAGTAACTCAGCAAGAGTTACTTACACCTCAACACATGACCAAATCACTCTGTGGCAGCATTTTAGTGTTTCCTGCAGGAGCAAGTCACTCTCTAAATGAATGGGAAAGTTCATTTCTGCTACTTTTCTTGTGCTGTTCTCTGTTAACCACTATGACGAAACAAGTTTCTGGACATCCTGGGCAGGCTCTTTGGTCATGGCAAATCCACAGGCGTAGGGAGGACCATAAGCTACCATGCAATGAATATAATAGGGCTCCCAGAACACGTCTGGGGGCTGCTCACTCTACATGTTTGACACCATTTCCCATTAAGGAAATACTAAATTATTGAATTTTTAGAGCAAAGCTGTCATCCTGAAGCCAAAGGAATATGAGCTATACGTTTCTTCCTTTCATCCCTTTCCCCCACCTACTTCCTCCTCTACTGTAGAGAAATCAGTGAGCTCGTTGCAACTTTCTGAAAGCACAGATCACATCTCCAAAGCTGGTTAATAGATTATCACCAGAGTCCCAGCTAACAGATGCTTGGAAGTGACAGCAGCACTGCAAAGAATTAAGTAAATTATTTCCATCTTAGCATTGGTCTTATTCACGACATCATGTAGCTTTTAAGCATTTTTCCATCCACTCAGATGAATGTTTGTGTATCTTTTACAGAACATGAACAAAATCTCTCTGAACTGAAATTTCCAACCTCAAGGCGACTTGTTAGTTTTGGAGTCATCATTAGGCCTTGGGCAAAGGCTTAAGGGAAATCTTATTCTCTGTAGTCTGGCCAATAACACTGTAAACTTAAAGATGTACTATCTTTTTCTGAGCTCAAGATTAGGCAAGGAACCAACCTTTCACTAAGCCACTTGCATCAGTCAGAAAATCTACTGCATGTGGCAAATTTTTTGTAATCATTTCTGTTTGTTATTTTGACTCTTTGCTCTGGATTGCTAAAAATCCCTTTAATGTGAAAGTGTGGAATGTTCTTCTGTGAGAGGAGAGCTGCCAAAGACTGAATCAGTCCTTTTTTTTTTTTTTTTTTCTACTTTCATTTTTTCCCCTGAGAGGCAATGATATGGAAAAACAGAACTTGGAAGTGAGTTTAAAGGACTCATCATTTTCAAAGAGGGATGCCCAAGAACACTAGTGCAACTGACCCTTAGTCAGATACTCAGAAGGGTGAGGGGAGAGAGAGGGGAAGGGGCGCATCTGAGTGCTGCTAACAGCAGCTTCTGTTCAAAGTTATTCTGTAAGGTTCAGTTGTACCTGTGTCCGTTACTGGTGTCATAGCAAGGCTCTGAAATTGGATAGGAAAGGGGAGGGGGAAACAGATGATCTTTGTACAAAAAGGACTTTGTGATTTTCTAAATAAAAGTGACATAATCAAAGTAGTGACCAAAGTGACTTAAAAAAAAGACGTTAGTCTGCCTGCAAGGCTAGTTTCAGTTTTGGTCCTGTGTGAAAATGATTAAGATGGCAATAAAACTATTAGATCAGTGGGATCTGTGGTAACAACGTGAAAACCACTGTGCACTTCAGTGTCATTTCTTAATTTGACTATGGACGAGTTCAGCTGGGTACTGAGACTCCAAAAAGCACAAAGTGAGAACATTCAGGTAATCTCAATTTTACTTAGGTGGCAGCAATCTCATGTTAAGCTGCAAAGCGTATAGACAAAAGCACATTTTGCTTCACCAGGTTGGATGAGGCTCTGGACTATGACAGAGTAAAGCACTTGCTTCCAAGAGCCTATGCAGTCCTCACATCCACCCTTTCTCTCTTCACCTTCACCGGGTCTTTGCCCTGACCCTTTACCCTCTCCCATTCTGTGCAGGCATTACCACACTGGGACTCTTACCACCTTCCTCTCCTTCACGTTCTCCTTCTCTACTACTTAAATACCACTGCTAGCCTTCATCCTTTTCCCACTGCAGCAGCTGATGTCATCTGCTAAACTTCTGGTTTCTTTTAAGCTGAAATTGATTTAAAAAAAACGGTTCCTTTCCCCTGTGCAGAACTGCCAGAAGCTATGCCCACCCTGCTCAGAAGAGGGAACCCAGTGCCACTCCTGGTTGTTGGTGGCTTTTCTCTCACCTGCCCCACACCTCAATGCCAGGGCAGTCCTAGTCCTTCCCACTGAGGGCTCCTCTCCCGGTGACACACTCCTTCCCACTTCCCAAGTGCACAGTTACCTCTCCCAGAAAAGACACTTCCCTCATGTGCTTTTTTCTGTGGGAGAAAGTGGTAGCTTGAGATTGTGAGCAGAGGAATGTCAGGTTTCATACCAAAATAAATAAACAAACACTTACTCAATTTCTTCTTGTTTAGGTAAAGACAGGAGCGGGACTTTCTGAAAGGCTTTATACAGGGTCTTAGAAGGGGAGGGATCAGATTAAATACTCTCAAAAGTTGTGACAAAGCAGTTTTTATTTCATTTTCGCTACAAAGTTGACAAGTGTGTTGCTTTCCTTCTTGTTTAGCTAAGGCAAGCTCTAACATCTTTTTAAACTTAAAAGGACTTAATTCTTACCATGTTATTTTAATATGTAATTAATTTTGGCAATTTACAATATCGTGTAATGGAATGAGACCTGTGATTAATTTAAGAGATAAACGAAGTGACACTTTTACCTCAGTCTTCTCTGGACTGAGGAGAACTCACTCTCACTTTAAGAGCTGTTAATGGCTCAAGACCATATTATCCTTGAATCATTACAGTTTTTCTTGAATTTGCCGAAGTTTGGGAATGTAGTGATTTCCTGAGGTGCCTGGTAATACTTCATTATGCATGCCCCCCTCCCCCAGCCCAGTTACACAGAGAAAAAGGGCTGAAGTAGCCAGCTAAGTCTTGAGTCTTAGAACTACTTTCAAAACCCAACCTCAAATTAGCTTTCCACACCAATCCAATTACACTACACAGTCAACTTCAATTTTGTCCTCTATGCTGCACCCAGCAGTTCCCTACAAAGTATTCTGTTTCCATCTGTTCACACTAGAGACCTACTTTTCGTATTGCACCTTAAAGATAAGCCATCACAAAATAAACTACTTGTCCTATAATACTCTACCATCAAACTCCTACACAGAATCATCCACAGTACTCCACCATGGCCAAACTCCTACACGAAATCATCCACAACAATACTTCACCATCACCAAACTCCTACATGAAGTCACCCTCAATAATAATTCACCATCAAAATCCTACATGAAATCACCCCCAATAATACCTACACAACAAACGAACTCCTACATGAAAATTTTCACATTCTCCCTGAGGCTCCACTCTACGCTATCTGCAAAGACACTAGCCACACAAACACCAAAGCTCTCCAGTAAAACTGGTGCAACTGTGCAGTGCAATTTTGTTGGTGTGAATTAAAGCACAGTTGGGTTTGGAAGTCGCTAAGTGTACGACCTATAGTTTTACATGGCATTTATTGAGTAACTAGTTTTCTCACTGGGAGAAGTGTACCCACAGAAGTCGTGTAAAGACTTAAAAGGAAATGTTCTTCAGTACCGTGAAGCTGAAAGTACTCCATTGTAGCTGTATCGATGAGGCCTTCTACAGACAGCTGGAAGTAGCCTCACGTTCACAGGCCCTGGTTCTCATGGGAGACTTCAACCACCCTGACATCTGTTGGCAAGACAGCACAGCTAGGCACAGCTAGGCTGCAGTGACCATGAGATGGTGGAGTTCAGGATCCTACAAGAAGGGAGCAGGGCAATGAGTAGGATTGCAACGCTGGACTTCAGGAGAGCTGACTTTGGCCTCTTCGGGGACCTACTTAGGGGAATCTCCTGGGGTAGGG